TTGATATATTTCATGAATAAGTTACAGGATTAGATAATTTTGTTCTCAATTTTCGTGAATCAATTTAGATTCCTTATTTATTACAAGAGACGTTTTATCAATGTAACTACTAGTATTTTAAAGCTTTAAAACATTACAATGTACAACAACACTATGTATGGACATTTCATACGTTCTACTGCTCATGGAAAAAATTATCTTTATTGCATTTTTTTAAAAATTTAAATTCGATACATATGGAGACAACGAACAGTAATCTAGCTCAAAAGCCCATTTAAACAAAACAGGGAGCAGGGCAAACACGGACCTCTAAAAGCATCAGAGGTGGGATCAGGTGCCATGGAGGAGTAAGCATACCTTGTTGACCAGTCACACCCGCCGTGTGCGCCTTGTCATGATCGGGCAAACGGAAAAATCCGTAGACAATTCAGAGTGTAAATAATGACCTAACAATTACATGTAGTATGAAAAACATCAGTCAGCATTCGACTTAATGATAGATTGTATTTGCTGACAAGGTCAATGTATCGACCATAGAACTTGCGAAACGTTGACTTCAAACGAGACTGTTGATATCCTTGTTTCATGCATTTGTTTGTCAATAGCTTGCCCCGTTTTAGAATTTGTTCGTACGTAGTATCGAATCAAGTCGAGTTGAAGGCCACAGCAAGTGTCTTCTTTTTCTATAAGTTTCTGAAAAAAATCTGCTTCAAATGAATATCAAAATTAATTCAAGTTTATATTAATTCTATTATATGAACATTTCAGTGATTTATTCACAGAGAAGCTCAGGTAGATAATTAAACACCTTTTTTGCATGTCTAATTATGTATGTCTCTGATGTGTATGGTTCCGCCCAAAGGAGAGATTTCGGAGTACTCAAGCTTTCCTGTACCTGCTCCGAGAAAGAAGGAGTTTTAATTTTTTTTAAAGAGTAACCACGATGAATGATGATTTAACATGATATTAACTAACTGCTGGGTTTTCATGCGGTGATTTCGACGTTATATAAAGCTCATCTGATAATCCTCTATTTGTTTCATCAATGTTTATGTTTGTTTAGCAGATGATCGACAAAGACTGTAAATATCACTGGTCTTAAGATCGCCTTAACACTACTTCATACTGGGAGTGCCGGGTAAAAGCGATCTGAAGGCCTGTGGTATAATCTTTGACCAAATGACCCAGAATACTGTGGAGGTCTCCCTCTACACCCCTCCCCCCCCCCTTCCGTAGTAAATATGAAGTATGATTTCTCAAGTTATACTTCGTGCTACAAGTTTGAAGTTTTGAACTTACGAGTAATGAATGGTAGACCACAACATTTCCCTGAAAAAAAAAAAAAACGCTTTCTAGTTACATGTCTGTAAAAATGTACTCTGTAAAAAGGTAAAAATAATATATCAAATATATCAGGATATCAAATAAATTGGATGAAAACATACAGAGAATAAATCAGAAATATATTTCTTCATTATATTATATGTTACCTGGATCTTTCTCTATAATTTGGATAATTTTTTCCGAATTATTTTATTTATTTTAATGTATTTGGGATCAAAACGAATGACTAAAATTATTGCTTTTCATATTTTGTTTAATGGTAACAGATGTATAGTTGTTTTCCCAAATATGTTTATCATTCCAATTTTGCATGCAAGCTATTTAATCCATATTTGAATTTTGGAAGTATGACCAGAAAAAAGATAAATGCTGGGTGAACGAATTTCGATCTTCATATAAATTACTAGTATATGTTACGCATTTTTATAATCCATAAGCGTTGGAAGCAAAACAGAGGGGAGGGCTTACTTCAATGAACAAAGAATCACGCACGCTAACTCTCAATTCCCGCCTACGTTTTAAGCCCATTTAATTCAAAATAAATGGCAGTTTGGTCATTAAAACTTGATTTAATGCAAAGAAAAGTTCATTATTAATTGATTAATAATTTTAAAACCAGTGTCAAACACTTGATTGCTCTTATTTATGACTCTTTTCAAAAGGGAAGTTGAAAATTTTATCCATTCAAATCAGGCTTTAAAAATCGCTAGATTTTCAAAAACGCATGGAATGGATAAATGACTCTTAAACTTTCCGTATGTTTAAATTTTGTAAAATTCAACATAATAGATTGATAAAAGACCTTATTTTATTTGTAATCTCATTTGAAAGCGGTTATAAAATGATCCCCCCCCCCCATGAAACAACAAAAGCTTTGGTATGAATTTGTGAAATAACAATTCACAAAACCCATAAAACGGAACTTTTGTTTCACGGGGGGGGGGGGGGATCCAAATAAGTTATGTTCTATGAAAATTCACATAAATATCTATATAAATATTTAAAATCATTCAATTATGTTAACTTTTGAATTGACTTGGAGGTAGGCGGCAGAAAAATACTATCGTTCGCAGTTCTTTCTTTACTTACAAAACAACATTAATGTTGTATCAGTAAAATCTCTGGACAAATCGCAACAATCTCACAAATATTGAAATTATTTGTCTATGAACTAGCATACATACACCAAAGAGGGCAAAAATGATCAATTCTTCATACTTAAATACAATATTTCAATATGAGTGGGTCTTCGCTCCATTTTTTTTTTTTTGAAAAATTTTATTCAAAATATGCGTTAAAATATCCATTCCTTTGCTAATAAAAACATGGAATTAAAGAAGCATTCACTATGTTCGTTTCTGGTCCAGAGATTCTGGAGATTTTTTTTTAAATGATACACTTAATTTTCACCAGTTCCTTTATTTCCATTGAAAGGAGATGTGGTCAATCATATCAACAAATGTGAATACCCTTTACCAAGTGGTGTTATTGAATAACAGTTACCAAAGGGTGCTATGTAGTCCGTTTAGTTAAAATTAGCTCAGTGGTTCTGGAGAAAAAGTTGAAAATCTGAAAAGATTACAGACAACACATGATAGACATATATACAGACTGACGCCGGACACCCTTAGATCAGAAAAGTTCACTTGAGCCTTTGGTACAGGTGAGTTAAAAAGGAAAAATGAAAATCTTTCAAAATGCTTCTCAAAACTTGGTGCAACTTTAATTAGCATCGGTACAATTAACTATAAAAATGAAAAACTGTCAAAAGTGTTTCAAATTCAGATTATATATGCTTTTGTTTTAAAAACCAGTAGTGCTACAGTCTCATTAGAAGTGACTGATTTTGTTTGTTTGTCGTTAGCTCAACAATGGTTTGTCAAATATCTTTTTAGCGTCAGGTCATTTTTCACATTTTCAACTTCTCAAGAACTCCCTGACCATTTTCAACCAAACTTGGCATAAAACAAGCTTCTGTAAATGGGATTCAAGTTTTTTCAACGGAAAGTCACATCCCTGTCAAGGAGATATAATTAAGAAATAATGAAAATAGGGTGGGGTCATTAACTCTTTTTCCCGAGAACAGTTAAGCCAGAAAAGATAAAAAATTTTCCTATTTCATGAAGATACAAAGTGATTCAAATTATTGCATCTGAGATAATAGTATCGGGGCCAAAATATTACACAGAAAACAAGAAACCTTTCGGCCACAATGCTCGCCTTAGCCACAATCCTCGTTTTGAAAAAAAAAAGAAAGATTTGTTTAAGTAGATAAATGAAATCCCTTATTGGGGTCACCAAAAAAGTCTATGATATCAATAATCTGCACGTTCACTACAGTACATATTCAAAATTGCAGTCATGGTGTTATTGTGAATGTCAATATACAAGGTATTTCTGCAGAAGAATCTCTTCCCAAGTCGTGGACCATTCCTTGCTCTGTTGGACGTAATAAGTTATTTTTATAAAAAAAAAACCCTGACCTTATTTTGCAGTCCCAACCAGGCTATTTGGTCTCAATCAATTTTTTAAATCTATACTTCAGAAAATCTTCATATAGTCAAACTAACTAACTGAAGACTTGCTGGGGTTTTTTTTTCTTGGGAACTTTTCTAGTACCCCTGTCCTCATAAATAGATACCGCCGAATGCTTTTCACTGTATGAGATCGCATGAGCGCCATTTAAACTAATATCTGTCGTTTATAATTCGATGTAAGCAGAGCTGGAGATGCATGTAAATAGGTTACAAACAATGCAGAGAAAAACAACTCAGCATGCTAAATATATACATGTCGTATTGTTTACATGTTGTCTGCTGCAGCTGTAAATACCTCATATTGAGACGGTACTGTTTGTAAATGGGCTATTATAAATTCATATTTTTACATCTGAATTTTATAACTTTTCTCACCATTAATTTTTCTTAACCTTTTACCTTTCAGTTATCAAAAAGTTTAAAAATTAGCATTGCAATGTAATCTGTAGCAATTAATTCTCAAAAGTTCCCTAGAATGACTGAACTAAGTACTACAACTTGTAGAGTGCTTACTATCTCTGTCTGCATTGCTAGATCACTGTAAATTTTTTTTCATATATACAGTGTGCCAATTCTTTATCACGGAAACTCAAAGTTGCAAGGGTAATATGAGGCCATTAAAATATATATATATTGTAGTTGCCAGATAGCATACTGATTTTGTACCTGGCAATCTTGCAATTTCCGTGAATGTCTACGTGGAATATTGGGATGAAGACAGGCTTAAAATTTGTGCAAGCAGAAAGAAAGTGGAAGACATTTAATCGTTGTTGTTTTTTCTTTCTGCGAGCAGTCCTGTTTCAATCACGGCTGAAGTCAGGCGAAGGTTTCCCTTGGATAATAATTAATGGATGAAACAAAACAATCTCATTTTTAAAATAATATTTTATTTCAACAATAAAAAGCAAGTACTATATACAAACATACTAAGTTAAGGAGTGACCCAGCATTTCCTTGTCAATGATTCTGATGATGATGTTTTGTAGATTGTGAATGAGTTAAAAGAAGAAAAGAAATAACGCGTTTTCAATTTAGAATAAAAATCTTTTTCAAACAATCTTTAAAAACAGAGAAAGTTTCTGAAAAAAAGAGAAAGTATGATATTCAAAGGTCCTTGGTTTTATTAAAAATTATAATTCAAACTTTGGATCTCAAAAAGCTTCAAATATAAAATGTATAAAAAGAATAAACATGTTTGTAGAGAAAATTGTAAATCTGTGAATTTCAAACTCATTAAAATTAAACTATATTTTTATTTATGAAACCAAACTAACTTAAGGAAGGAATTTTGAGGATAGGATTTAATTGGTAAACAAATCAAAATAATATGCAAATGCATTGTCAAACTTCATATTCTTCAACATCATGACTGTTTTAGCCATTTAAACTAAACTGGCGGATCACCCAAAGGCATGCTCTTCAAAGCATCAACCAATGTGTTCTATATAAAATATTGTCTATGTACATTCATACTAAATGCCCCACAACAATGCGATGTAGAAAGGAGGAGGAGTGAACACAAAATTTGAGCACAGTAGAACCGGATCCATTGTTACTTTGGCATATAGATACACATGCAAGAAATGCAGCAAAATGTGCTGTACATGTAACACAGTTTTCATACAGTCAAACACGACCCCATAAAAAAGTGTATAGCACACAATTCAAGTACTGTACAGTGGTAATCTGATGGTGGCATTTGTCGATCATTTGCGCCCATGCAGACATATCCTGCAAAAAAGGATATATATATAATGTTAAAACAAAAGTATTATACAGTATATTTATCAAGCTGTACAACATTGAATAATTAATATTTTTATTATACAAATTTAAATTTTTCTAGAAAATTTGATTTCAGTTATTATTGACTTTGACTGTTTATTTCTTTGTAAAATAGTATCTCATTTTGAAAGAATATCGGTGCAGGTGCGGATCCAGGAATTTTTTCCGGGTGGGGGGGGGGGGGGTTCCACACCATTCAGAGAATTTCCAACCCAGGAATTTCTTGATAAAAACCCCCCACCTAAATTCCAAAATTTAGGGGAGGGGGCAAAGTAGTTTTTTTTATTTGCTTCAGTATATACTTTTAATAACTCTGCAAATTCCAGGGGGGGGGGGGGGTCCGCACCTCCCCCCCCCCACCTCGACCCCCCACCTCTAGATCCGCGCATGCGGTGGTTTCACTCACAAATATCAGTCTCCTCCTTAGTAGATGTAAAACGAGGAGTTCAAGTCCTGTTTCCTGGAGACTTTGTGACGTCTCTGTTCTGGTATGTTACGGCGCATGGGTCTGTGCTCGTAATTGACTCTAGCCAACCATTCCATCTGTGAGAAATATTTCAGTTTAATGTGACTCACAACCGACCAGAAAACAACGATATATAATACTTGATTAAAAAAAACGCAGAAACTTATGTACATCTTACACAAGTGCAAAAGAAAAAGTGTTTATTAATGTGTGTTGTTCAGACACTGAGAATGCGTCCAACACTAACCTGGTGCGTAGGTTGTGGTATGGTGGGAAGCTCCCTACGCTCCTCAGACTTGTTGATGGCATGGGTCAACTCATACTGATATAAAAAACATTCTTATGAAATACAGAATCAGTCATATAACCATCCAAAAATAAGACTTTTTGGACATTAATATAAACAGAAATATATCTTGATGTTTTACATATGTATATACATGTAAAATGCTCTCACTCTTGACTCTTACCCAGTCTTTAATGTGCTCTCTCCATGCGTGAGCAGCAGAAGTAAAGACTTGTTTACACTGGGAAGAAAGTATAGAAACTATAAAAGCTAATTACAGAGAGAGAGAGAGAGAGAGAGAGAGAGAGAGAGAGCAAGAGAGAGAAACTTACAGCTGATTTGGCCGCCAAGGCAAGCATCACCTCGTACCACTGACGACTGTCATCTGAAGAGATGTCTATGCGGCGCTAGAATTAAAAGAAAGGGTCATTGAATGTTCTGAGGGATGCAAATTGTGCATTTTTTACCCGTCCCATCTGCAACACCAAATACAAATAGAATAGAGGGCCCCTTCACCTTTTCATAAATAACTATATAAATATTTGATTTGTATACCATATGAATCTTACAATTGCTACATTGCATATTCATGAACATGAATATTTGCATATACATGTACATGAATATAAAAGTCAAAACTTGGAAAAATTAAAGTAATATTGCACATGAAGTGGGAGCAAGTGCTAATATTAGGGAACTGCAAGGGCGGATCCAACAGGGAGGAGGGTTAGACCCTCAATTCTCCAGAATGTTCAGTTTTAGTAGATTTAAAAGTAGATGAAAATGGCTTTGACACCCGTGCTTAAGAAATGTGGACCGTTCCTAGGATCTTAATAAAATGTACATTCACATGAAGTAAAGACGTTTTGTCTCTGTGATAGCTACCCCATCCTACCCACCCCACCCCTTCCCCACAAAAATATATTTTCGTGTTTGGCGATTTTTTTTAATCTTTGCTAGACAGAAAAAGAAACCGGGTGATACTTCTTCCTTTTTCGACTGGAACTGAATCCCCAAAACAAAAATTCTGAATCCACCCTTGAATCTTCTCAAGGGGGAAACTCGAACAACAGTTGTTGCTCAATACGCTCCCCTTCGTTTATAAACATAATAATGACAGGATATAATTGATAAGTTTCTAAGAATGACAACAATCTCCCAATCAATATCATGCATAAAAAAGTAAGTTTATAAATGGGTGAGACCTAAAGTTATTACAGCTGAAATAACAACGATATTTTGGAGTAAACCAGTTATTGCTAGTTTTTTTCCTCCTGTTGTAATCCAGTCTGATTAAAATCAAATCTTCACTAGCTCCTTTTTATTTTGATTGTCGCGTGACAATCAAAATAGATAGGACCAAGTGAAGGTTTGATTTTAATCAGACTAATTGTAATCATGTTTTGTTCTTTTTATCTTAAAAATAAAAATAATCCCAAGCGTTACATATGTTATTTTGAGAAAGAGGTGAAAAAATTATTTTATTTTTTTCTTGTTTTTGTGTGTATGTGATTTTCATGTAACAGAGTTTTCACATAGATTATCTTTACTATATATATCTACCATACCCTTACTTGACCCCCCCCCCCCCCCTTTTATGCTTGAAGATTTGCCTCTATTTATTAATTTTCTTAACGTTTGAGAATGGTTGCATGCTTTCAAAATTTTTACTCGAATGAAGTCAAGAAATAGTTTGCGCATTAAACATGCTGAGAGATTAAGAATTACATGATGTTTTATCAGGCATTCCTATTTGGACATGTCTATGTAAACGGTAAATGGACGAAATGGCACGGTATCTCAGAAAGACAAGCATTTAAGACCACTGAAATTTTATTTCCTGAAGAATTACCCTCTTAGATACACTGTTGCTCTTTCTCTCGGAAGATCTTTCTCTTTTCATAGTGATATTTGAGATTTTTGTCGCTCTTTGAAAAGCTCGTCTACTCGCCACTGATTGAAATGAGTAACTAACAACAGTAACCAAAACGCAACGCTACCTAGCAGTTACCAAGGATGACGTCATAACCAATGACAACGCGCAAATCTATTTATAGATGTGATCATGCGAAATAGGTTAAAAAATAACTATACTTACCTCTGAGGTTTCCTTCCATCTATAACAAAATTATCCGTTATCAATCATGTCAATTTGCTTATTTTTAAAAACGTCAAAGGTCTTGTGATGTCATAGGGCGGGAAAGTGGCTGAAACGCCGTGCTGAAAGTCTTCATTTTCACTGATCACTCACACTATGCAATTTATCCGTGTTACTGCCCAAGAATTGAAAGCCAGAGTTGTCCATTTGACCATCTAAATTTTATTGATATCTGTTACAAGTGTAGATTATACATAAGATCAACGTCAATAAATGAATCCAATCAAAAAATTTCCAGAAAACATTAAGTACTAATGTTTATCATACAAATATAAGCCATAATTTCCAAGCTCGGGGAATGAAGAAAATATGGTACGTGTATTTTATCATTTATTTACAATTTTTCTGAGGCCAAATTTTAGCCAGAACTACAGTAGATGTGATAGAATGAAATTGATACGATTACCTGTAAAATCAAGTGATTTTTTAACAGTATTACAGTGGTCAAATCGGTTAAATGAAATTATAACAAACCTGGTATTTAATTAAATAGAATATATAAACCAATATCAGTTATACATATTATACAGAGGTTAATCTTTTTCTTTAATTTTAAAATTAAGGGAGGAGGTGTCTAAATATTGGAGTTGCAGGTTTAGATTCCTCCGTAAGCAGATTAATTTAAACACTGTATATTTAACCAGATTTACGTGTTAAGATTAAAAAAAATTGCAAGCGCAAATTTATATTCTTTTTTTACTTTTTTATTTTTTACTTTTATTTACTTTTATATTTTTTGTTCAAGATTTAGTTGATCACATAAAATAAGAGAGGACGAATTATTCTGGCAATTTTACAATACAAACATCTGAGAGAATATACGGCTTAGGGAACTCAAAACTTTGATTTCCAAATAAGTCACCCAAACTTCTGTAATGCTCACCCCAAAAAATGGACTGTGAAAAGGACCAAAATCTAAAGTTCAAATTTAAATTTTACATTCTGCTTCTATCTTCGTCCATAGGCGTTGGAACCGGGGGGGGGGGGCTAGGGGGGCTTAGCCCCCCCCCCGTTTTTGCAAAGATAGACATAATATAGGCATTGAACATTGGGGCGTAGGTTTAGCCCCCTCCCCACTTTCAAGAGGCACAGATTGCAGTGTAGTCAAAGAAGGGTAGGTGTTAGGGTTTGGAAAAAAAATTGGTACTGAAAGAAGCTTTACACCCCACCCCCCCCACCCCCCCACCCCCCAACGAAATAGGATTTTCGCATCTAGACAATTACTATTTTTCCTTTTTTTTTGGTTTGTCAAGTTTTTTTCAGGTTCGATTTTTTTTCTCTTTCAATTAGAACCCCCCCCCCCCCCACAACTTTCAAATTTGCTTCCGAAGCCAATGTCGTCTCCCAGCTATGAAGATGAACCTCAAGGCCTGCATGGTAGATTGACTTGACTTATGGGGTAAAATGACTTAAATCAACTGTATAAATCATCTCATTTTTCTTTCAACTTATAAAGTTTTAAAATGTTTAAAAAAGCCATGTACTTCATGTACTAACCTTTAATTCTTGAACATCTTTGTCCTTACTATTTAAAGCAATCAGAAAAATGTGATTTGAGTTGCTTTTTATTAAGTTTTTTTCTTTATTAGCAAGCTCCAAGTCAACTGTAGTTGTTTCAAAAGTAAGAAGTTTATGAATACTAGAAATGCTAATTTGAACACCCAACAATAGTCATTTAAGGAATGAGTTTAATTTTTCTGAATGTAAACTGGTTGGTGCGATGTTGTAGCATAGTTTTCTCTCCGGAAAAGCGGGTCCAGGTTAGTTTTTCCCCCACGGGAGATATTATTTCCTCCAATCAGAATGCACAAAGTCAGTAGAGAGTTTACCCCTGTTTCCGGATTACATCAACCGAAATCTTCGATCAAGCCTTATCCTGGGATTTGAGGGGTTGACCAAAACCATCGAAGTACATGTATATGCAGTCTTACACAACATTTCCTTATCACTCTCGGATATCAAGTAGCAAAATTTTATTGCGCGATCATATACAATGAAAAAATAGCCGTCCACTAAACTAAAAAGTGAGTCCCCTGGATCCAGGCATACGGGTACAATAATAAAAACTCATTATATCTGAGAAAATAACGCTCATCGAGCAGAAAAAAACTGTCTGTGTGATTATAATGAGACCTTAATTGTGAAAACCAGCTTCCCCGGGTCCAGGACCCAGTAATAGACTAAGTTGATCATATGTTGAAAAATTTATTTAACATCTTATATATCCCTATATCTAAATGGCAAAGTGGCTGCATGCTTATAATTGCAATTATATCCCTTTATCTAAATTGTTTAATTCATTAACTACGGACCCCGGGGTGGGACTAAATTGTTAAAAATATTAAAGATACATTTAACTTTTGAAAACTCTCAATTTATTCCAAAAACGCATCATTGCAGCAGCAGCGTATTTTATGAAAACCTCGATACTAGAAATAATCTTGGTAATTCATGATATCGTTATTGCAAATGCAAATCTAATTTAACCCTATAAACTTCATATCACATCAATAGTGTTAGTGCTCATATGAGACAGTCTCTTCGTCCCTCCCCTCTCTTCTTTCTTTGTTGGGAGAGGGTTACACCGGTTACAAAACGCTCTTTAAAGGGTTTAAGGCTTTAATGTTCTTTGTACATGACCTTAAATTTTAAGTCAAAAAGTGAAAAATAATGGGAATATTAAAAAAAAAATGTATGTACAAGTAGGACAATTTGTTTAGGATAATTCTTTTATTAAATGTATTTATTTCTCAGCCAATCAGCCCCTGGCCTGGATTACTGGGGGGTAATGGCGTCGGTGACACCATAAATCCAGAAAATGTGGAATATACTTCATTTTTGGCTCCATACAATGCATTTGTTCCTCGAGCTTGAACAAACACCTGGTCCTCTGGAAATAAGAGAAGATATAATCACAAGTTTGGAAATGAAAGTGTAACTCACAAAACCATAGCCTGGTTTTCTGACGACACTAGTACCTGACCCAGATTGATTAAAACGGAAGTCCATTTAGTTCCTGTTGCCTCATTTTGTAGTGGTTCTGAAAGGGACAACCATAAACAACCAGTACACCCACCAAAGATTTATAATCTGTTTAATAATATGTAACACACAAAGTATATGACATCATCCGATGATGTTTCCCGAGACCGGCGGAAGTGTGACCACACCCGTGCGACCAATACCGGGAACTATCATGAAACCAGAAAATGTGCTATAAACTTCGTTATGCTGTCCGAACATGGAATTGACACCCCTGGCTTGGACAAAAACCGTGTCCTCTGAAAAGCATAATTCGTTCGACAACTCAGTGATCGTTCAATGAAGGAAAGGAATCATTTTTTGATGTATAAATCGGCATTTATTTAGCGAAATGCTTAAAGCTAGGGAGAGAGGGGCTAAGCATTGGCAATTATTGAATCAGTTTCACTTAAAAGAAAAGCTAATAGCAGCATCAGCATTACATATTCAGCATTGTTAGCATTTATAAAAAGCTAGTTACATAATCTCTGTAAAACAAATGTATGTAATAAAGAAGAAACAAAACACAAACAAGCAGATCAAAAAACAAAACAAAAAAAACAAACAAACAAACAAACAAACAAACAAAACCACTTAATTAAAATACCAATATGTACAAAACAAAAGTATAGCTGCATGAAAGTAACAATGAAAAATAATCACTATAGAGCCCTTCTGGTACTTCAAAATTTAAATTCCCGAATAGCAGTTATTAACTTGGAATAGGGTCAGGATATTTACATTTAGCTAAGCATTGCTACCATTCAATGTAGTTAGTTTATAGTACATCCAGCATCTAAAATCGTAAGCAGCATATCACAGAGAGCAGCAGTAGTAATGTGCAACAGACTGGTCTTAATCTTGGATCTCTTAAAATTTCATTTTTAATTGTAGGAAGGAGTGACTTCAAAACTTTGAAAATATTTTTAACTTACGTTGATCCAACTGCAGTACTATAGTCTGGTGTCCAGAAGCATACCCATTTCGTACGTGGGCAAAAACACTGACAGTGTAATTGTTGTTTTGGTAAATATCTAAGTTAAGCTGGCTGGTGGCGGTAGAAACTCCATAGACCAGGAATGTATATGTACCCGCGTTTGGACAGGTAAACACTCCGGTACTGGAATCATACCCATTACCGATATTCAAAAATACACGGTCATATGGAATAAGGTCTGTGTCATTGGTAGTAAGCATGTGAGTAAGACCAGCAGAGAAACCCACAAACTTATCCGTGGGGGTCACGTGAGTATGACCATGATTCCCTGCGGCTCGTACGAAGGATGTAGGAAAGTAATTGTCGATTCCTGAATAGAAGATTTTTGGTAATAAGCATACTTTAACATGACTTGAAAACTCGCTTCATATATACGTAGATTGCAAAAATAAAAAGATCATATATTAGTTACAAGGTTACCTTTAACTTGTTCAATTGGTGTAGAGGCAACGAGGGAAACTAAACAGAGACAAACCAAAAACATCATCTAAAAGAGAAGACCAAACTTTACTTAATTTTACCAAACATAACATAGAGAATGTACGTAGATTTCACAAACTTACCTTAGAATCTAAAAGTCAGACAAGAAATTAGTGTGGGAACTAACAGGTTGCTGAATGTCAAAGACTTAACAGGTCAAATTCTGCTAGTTCCGTTCAATAGGTTGGAGAAGAATTTAAAAGACTAGAACAGAACACGGGTATGTACTTGTACAAAACTAGTCTCCTTACCAGGAAGGTTACTGCAGATGGTCCAAATTACATTAATTATATTTTCAATTTTGTTAAAACTTTGGAACTATATCGCAGTTTTTTCTTGGTGTAGGTTGGCACTTAGACAAAGTGTCTCTTGCGCTGATAAGGACATCTGGGAATTAACCAAAAGACGGTAAGTCGACCGATGAATGAAAATATTAGATAGTTATTTCAAGTTATAATTTGGATGAAAAATTAAATTGAGAAATAATTATGGATTGTTTATTTGAACAAAAAATCCATCAAAATTCTTTAAGTTTGGAAGGAAACGGTTAACCTACAAATTTGATTTACGATCTTGACCTCATTTTTTTCCTTCAAATCTTAAATACGATATATATCTCTGGCATTATCATAAATAATAGAATCTAACAACAGACTTTCTCTTTAATTACAGACAATGAATTCTTTGATATTTACACTTGTGATTGCAGTAGCTCTTTGTAAGTAACTAAAACATTTCTGATTCCATTTTCATTGAATGTGTATGTTTCCCGTAATACATGTATCCCCTAACCAAAAATAAAATGATTAATGAATCTTTCAGTTGAAGTAAAGGCAGAAACAAACGCTGTAGCCTTTTCCGCTGGTCTCTCTAAAAACCTACAGCTAGCGCACACCGAGATCGTAGTCTACGATAGAATCTTTACCAACGTTGGATCGGGCTACGACTCCAACACAGGGAAATTCCGCTGTCCCACCAGCGGGGTCTATGTTTTCCAATTCCATTCCGTTGCTAACCAAGTAAGCCAAATTAGTTTCCAGTTCAAATTCGATTTCAACTTATATGGCTCTTACAATGTCTGTGAATATGAATTTATACACAGCCGTTGGTACATGTATGGGATAACAGTAAAAGGTGTTTTTAACTATTGTTATTATCGGTTTTTATTTTTTTTTTACATACTCTAACATGTTCCTGTATATTGGATCCTTCCAGGATAAAACCATTTGGACGGAACTTTGGCACAATGGGTACTATATTTGCTCGATGTATGGACACACGTCTGGTGATTACGCTTCTGGAGGAAATTCGGCCGTCCTCCGTTTAACAAAGGGTACGCAAAGTGAACATATGTTCAAAGCATCATCCCAATGTTGTATATCTATATTACCAACCCCTTTTCTTGTAAATATTGTAAAAAAAAAAAGTTTGCTTTCATGAGAAGGATTCTTAGAAGTTTTATGTTTTATGCGGATTTTCTTTGAAGGTGATGAGGTTTACGTCAAGGCTGTAGATGCCGTAAATGGGGCCGCAACCAACATGTATGGCGCCAGTGACGAGGTCTATTCAACATTCTCCGGCTATATGGTGGCTCCAGTCTACGAGGAATTTCCATCCGTTGTTGGATAGAAATGACTATTAAAACTTCTGTGCAATTTTTATATGTAAATAAAGATATACAGAAATAAATATGTTTATTAACGTCCAATCAATTCTGGGATAATGTATTGTCCTCCTGTCTCCCAAGACTATCCTTGCAGGATTGGTTTTGTTCTGTCATTTTTGTCCCACCGTCTGTCACAAACGTATTGAAATCAAAACTCTATATTGGAGTCGATCTTCATTAAGGTACTACCAATCACTTAGCGCATTCGTTTATGATCCAGAATCACGTGGCAATGTCATGGAATACAGTATTTTACAATCTTTTACACAAATTGTATTGCAACATAAAAAAAAATATAATTTCAACTACCAACCCGAAGGAAATAATCATGGATTCTCGCTATTTATATAAAGTGCTGGATATTGAGACATTTTTCTTTTCATGGTGCTGTACAAAATTGTGCATTTGTTAAGCAGTTAAAACAAACCGAGCAGTGTATAATGTCTGGAATGCGTCAGTTACCCCTTCGATGGTGACTGCTCGGGAAATAAGACATTTCTAGATACATGTACTTGAACATTGTGTGGGTGCTCTAGAAGACACATCCAGACACCAGAACGATGCAACAGTTAAATAAATGAATGCCAATCTGCTTTTTCCCAAATCTTCTCTTAAACGACTTGTATTTATGTCTACGAAATACAAACCTAACAACACAATTATGAATAAATCAAAATTAAATTACAAAGAAAACATTTCCAGTCATAAAGCAGTAATTAATGTGATATAGGTATGAAATGATCATTTCTATACTTACATGTTATGTGATACAAATAGACTACATTAATATGTATGGTATATGAAATTTTTATGAAATGTCATTTTTCGGAATAACTCGTATTCACAAGTGGAAAGACCGATGTCTTACAGTCCTTATATTTTTTTCGCATCTTCCCAATGTCAGGACCGTTGAGTCCACTTTTGACCGTGGGACTCAGAACCCGTAATATTGTGAATGAGAATGATTTTCCCGATCTTGTGAAAAGTAAATCTAAAGAGTAGAAGAACGATAACTCTTACAATAACGATACTCCTTTATTGTTATATTGTATTATATATATGTAATCTATAAAACCGCCATACAATGCCATTATGTAATATTTTGTATTATATATTATTGTTGAAATGCAATAAGATGTACGTCTTAAGCAATAATAATAAATAATAATAATAATAGATTGTTAACAGACAATTTTTATTGTAATGTGTCATGGTTACCATGGCAACATTCCTTATAATTTGAAAAAAATAGGATTTTGAACAATCAACTTATTCAGCAGTGTTGAAAAGTGACAATGACTGTGTCGAAAGTCAAGTAAATTATATTTGGGAAAACAACTATTACAAATGTTACCATTAAACAAAGTATAAAATGCAATAATTTTATCTATTTTGATCATATATACATTGAATAATAAGAGCAATCCCCAACAAATAAATTCTATATTTAACTATAGTTTGCTATAGTTAACTATAGTTTCAAAGTATTACTATAGTAAATCAAAGTTTTTACTATAGTAAATCGAAGTGTTTTATTATGGATTTCAAATTGTTATATTTTATATTCTCCAGTTCATAAATGCACATTTTTTATATTAACTGGAACTATTTCTTGTATATTCAAATATTATTTCCACATTTTACATCACTGTTATCGAATTTAAGAGATTTTAAGCTTTGAAAGCTCAGACAAAGTTCTAGAGTAAAGTTTTACAATAAACCAAAATATTTAATATTAACGAGGTCCGTTCCTGAGCTTTTGAGAAGATTTTTGTGTAAACCTCTATCTAAAAAATTCTGCATAATGTTTTATTTATTACAATAAATTTGGATTGTGCAATGCTCATTTAACTATATTCAATTAAAACCTCATGATTAAATTCCGTACTGAAAGCATTAAGTTAGAAACTATATTTTGTGGCGGAAGGTTTTATAGAAGAAAATTATCTATTTTTCTCATTCGAAATATTTACAGTATTGTTAAGTTTGGAGTCCTATTTTTACATGCAGCCTGCACACAAAGTTATTTTGAGCAGTGAAATGTTTTATGCTGGTCCTAAATAATATATTAAATTAACCGTCATGAATTCTGTCATCATATTGGACAAATATAACAAATATATTGAAAAAGTACAATTAACCGCCGCTAGAATTGTAACAGGACTTCCGATTTTTGTGTCTAGAGAAGCACTATATTCTGAAACTGGTTGGGAAACTTTAAAAAGCAGGCGATATATTGCAAAAATGACAACTATGTTCAAAATTCACACGGGAAGAGTACCTGAGTATTTGCATGATATTGTCCCCAATAAGCGTGAGCATGTATCTCTATACAATACCCGTAATAAACAAGATTATATTGTTCCAAGGTGTAGATTAGAATTATTTAGAAACTCTTTCGTACCTGATGCTGCAAAACAATGGAATTTACTAAAAACAGAGGTTAGAGAAGCCATCTCAATCAAAACATTCCGAAAAAACTTGATAACAAAAATTAAAAATCCACCATCATACTTCTCTTTTGGTAAGCGATACACCAATATCATTCATACTAAGCTAAGACATTCCTGTATTCTAAATTATGATCTTTATAAACGAAACATTATAAATAGTCCCTTATGTTTATGTGGAAAAAACGAAGATGTGTACCATTTCTTTTTTGCATGCAAAAATTATTCTAATGCAAGAAGTACTCTTTTTAATCGCTTGTTCACTCTTGAACTGGTTACTATTGATATAAATCTATTATTATGTGGTGATGTTAATTTGCCTTTACAGATAAATAACAGTATTTTTGCTGCTGTTCATAAATTTATTGACGAAACATGTAGATTTTCTAGTTGATATGCTATTTAATTGCTTTTTCACTTGTATTAATTGTATTATTTTCTTCTGTTTTGCATGACAAATTGTTATATATAAGGAGAGGAACTTTGTAAGTTGTAAAGAACTTGTTTCCAATCCTTTTGATGTACTCAATAAAATATGTTCAAAACAAACAACAAATATATTGTGAAAGTCTTGGGGAAAAATAGCCCATTTTAGGCTGAAAATTAGCACTATTTTAGTTATATCTAAAAATTAACATCACATACCCCCACTTTTAATTTTATTTTCTGAATAAACAAGATAATTTTAACCATTCTGCTTAATCTCAGAAAAATGTCATTACTTTCAAAAGATTTTATTGCTTGTTAAATTTTTAATGCCAGAAAAATGACATTTTTTGAGAGCAAAAAGGTCAAATAATTGACTATGCGAAGTAATATGAAACACTTTTTTTGTTGTCACAAATTTTAAAGAGACTATTCAAGACGAAAAAAGACTGTATTTGTTCCCATTATTTGGATAAAATTTATGAGGAAAAACTTTGAAAAATTGATTTATGTGTAAGACGTAATTAAAGTGCAAAAAGGTCATATTAAATGCTCCGTAGCTCCGAAAGAAGTGCATTGACCCCCATTTTTGGTTTTGATTTTTAATTAAGCTATGTGTCTAGATTCCCAAAATATACTTGATAAAAAATTCTCAATACTTTTGATAACAGGATCCAACCTCCTTAAAGAGATATATCAATTTACGCACAAGAAACTGTAAGAAAAGCAGTTGTTTTTCGTGGACTTAATAATCATTATTTTGTTTTCAATAACATATTCATAATCAAAACTGGAATGCCTGACACATAAACTCTGAACCATGATACATCTTTGGATATACACTGTATATTCTCAAAATATTCAACATGTTTGTACACAAACATCGACACTATTTTGCTTAAAAGGTTCAGAATACAAATACAAAAATAATTTGTCATTGTAGTTTAGGTATTAAATATATTTTACGCAACCAATCTTCACAAAGTGAGTTTTCTTTAGGAGAATTTTACTGTCAAAAACAAAAGTAGCATTCTTGTAACTTGTACATTGTACTACGTAAATGTTAAATCACACATGAAGACAGCAATTTTCTCAAAGTTGTCGATCATATGCATATTTGCAAGTTTTCTTCGGTTGTTTGTATACAGCTGACATGAATGTCACTGTTTTTTTTTTATTTATTAATTATTATTAATTAATTACATGTAATTATTGTCAACTGCTGACTCCAGTGTATTAATTACATTGTGAAATTACATATATAAAGTATATGTACTGGTCTGTGCTCCATAATTATTTCTGTTTATCTAACTTGTATGTATTCCAGCTATTTCACGTGTATCTTTTATATTGTCTTTGTATATATTGTATATAGAACCTCGTGTACCACTAAGTGGTTTGGGTGAATAAATTGAATTGAATTGAATGCTGAAAAGTATCATTAATTTACTTTAAGATATAATACAAAACACTAATTTATGGTACCACACGTGTTATAAGAATTTTTATTTTTATAGAAGCAGTGCTAATGAAAGTATGGAAAAATCTGCAAAAATTGTATTTTTTTTTCTTCCGATCCATCTGCAGCTAAATTTTTTTTCCATGAAATGTAAAGATAACGAACAGTAATCAAGCTCAAAAATCCAATAAAACAAATTGCGAGTAGAACATACATGGACCTCTGAAAACATCTGAGGTGCGATCAGGTGCCATGAAGGAGTAAGCATCCCCTGTCGACCGGCTACATGATCAGAAGTGTGAGACTCCGGAGTCTTTTATTTCTAGTTCAATGGGATATATCAAATCACCAAATTAATGAATAAATAGTTAATTCATAAAACGTTATTGATATATTTGAATGTCGAATCGAAGGCCACTTCTTTTCATGTAGTAGGTTTTGAATAAATTTTTGCTACAGAAGTCTGCTAATAATGGAACACAATTAAAACCCAGATTGTTGGAAAACCTGGTATCCATTGCAATGCATTATATAGATATTGACAATGAGACTCTTAAGCATCCTTTTAATATGAATTTCAGAGTACTTGTGAGTGGAATCAGAATGGTTTTTAACAAACTAAGGTTGTAGA